CGCGGGCTGCAGCGGGAAGAGGCCGGGAGCCTCCTCAGGGAGCGGGAGGCAGGGTTGGCTCCGGAGCGAGCCCGGTGCAGCCGGCCCTCCCTTTGCACCGCAGGAAGGGGCAGCCTCTGCGTGCGGGAGATAAACCCAGGGAGCGTCGCCCCTTTCCTATCGCTCCTGCCACCCGAAACCGCGCGCGGAGGCCCCGGGGCGGATGCTGAAGCCACCCAGCTTTTCTCCCTTGGCCCAGATGCTTTTCAGGGCCCCTGTGTGAAGAGGAAGGGCCCATTTGGGGCCGGGGGCTCTGGGAACAGAGTCTCCAAGTTGCCAAGGGGACCTGCGGTCATGGCAGCAGTTTGTGCTGCAGTTTGAGCCCGAAGCTGCTACTTTTGACCCCAGTAAAACCCACGTAGCAGCAGCCGCTGAGTTTGGGGCTTTTGCGGTCGACTAAGGTGCTGCTTCCCCTCTTTTTGTTGCCCTGGCCACTGCTATCGCTTAATTCAACCCCTGCTAATTGGCGTTCTGGGTCTTTGCACCGAGTGTTGCTTGAGATGCCGTAAAAAGGATGCGGAAAAGAGAAGTCTGCCCACGTCCTGCGCGCGGTGCCCGGCTCCTGAAATGAGTCGAAGGTTTCCGCGCTGGCCCTAGTCATATTTGTGCTCAAACACCTGGTGGGCTGCGTGCCCGAGGTGGGAAAACGCCGTTTCCTCTACGTGTTCATCTGTGTTTTGGCAGTGAGGGCTGAGCAAGGAGGTTTTAGGTGACGTTTCTCTCTGTTCTCCCCGAGAATGGGGGTGATAGCGGTTGGTTGAGGCCTGTAGTCCCCTCCTGTCACGTTTCCAGGCTTGTTTTTTCTGTAGATAACGTGGCCATAAGGTCCCACCTCAGAGCACAGCACTTTCCCTGCCTAAAAAGAGCCATAAGTGCTAATTGAACGCAAAATGAGGGAATAAGTCGTGGTGTTTTCTCAAATACAGGGTTCTTCTCGTGTGGATGTGATTCCCTCATCGGACTTGTGCGAGCAGGGTCTTGTGGAGGGCCAATTCCCCAGATTGCAGGTCCCACCAATGCTGATTTCCTTGCCCATCTGCAGTCAGGATTTCTCCTGCTAAATCTGCAGCAGGTGGCTGGGGTCTTGTCTTCTTGCGAAGCCACCAAAACGGTTGTGATTTGCCCTCCATCCTCCCCAAAACCATGAGGAGAGGCCGAGGGGAAGGAAGGCCTGGTAAAAGTCACCCAGCAAGGGCCAAACGCATAATCTTTTCCGCCTCTTATTTTCAAATAATCTCCCCCCCCGCCAGTGGCAGCCGCTCTTCGAAAACCTTCAAGCCCAAGAAGAACATCCCCGAGGGCTCCCACCAGTACGAGCTGCTCAAACACGCCGAGGCCACGCTGGGCAGCGGCAACCTGCGGCAGGCCGTGATGCTGCCCGAGGGCGAGGACCTCAACGAGTGGATCGCCGTCAACAGTGAGTCCTGGCGGGGAGCTCGAGCACAGACACACTCTGCTCCTCGTCCTTAAGAGAAAGAAGCCCCTAAATCAAACTACTTTTGTGCTCGCAGCTTAGAAAGGTGTTTTATCCCCCCCCATTTTCGTTTTGTTGTTGCACGTAAAAAATCCAGCATTAATTCTGGCAGCTGCACGGTTACAAGCAACTCGATTTGCTCTTAGTGGTTGCTCGGCCTGGCCTTCAACTCCAGAGGTTAAAGGGATGAGGGGAAAAAAAAGCAGTTTCTGAGCAAAAGGAGGGAAAGCTGCAAAGATTCAGGTTAAAGATGAGCTCTGGTGCTTGTCAAAGCTGCCAGGGTGGAGGCACTGCCTGCTCTGTTATTTTTGTAATTTAAGTTTCCACGCTGCGCCCAGCGTGAGCCGCAGACCACGTTGCGGGCTCAGGGAGCAAGAAATCCCCGGATTGTCCCAATATCCCAGCGCCGTGCGGGGCGGGAAGGCTGCGTTGCTCCGCGGCGCTGAGCTGGCTGCGCTTCCCCTTCCAGCCGTGGATTTCTTCAACCAAATCAACATGCTCTACGGGACCATCACGGAGTTCTGCACCGAGGCGAGCTGCCCCGTGATGTCTGCGGGACCCAGGTAGGGAGTTTGTCTTTTGCCTCTAAACTCGCAGGAAATTCCTTTCCTTCACCCATATCCCTGTCCTGATACCAGTTTAGGTCGGCACGAAGCCCCCGCTCGATTTTCAGAGCTCTTTTAGGAGGTTGTTTTTATGAACGGGCACAAGGAGCAAACAGAGATGATGGCTCTGAGCTAACTTGCCAGACGTGCAGAGTTTATCCCAAATTCAGACCCACCTATCCCACATTTTCTTGTGCGTAGAGAGCAATTTATCACCAAAATCTCCAAATGTGCAGATTTTTTCTCCAAATCTTTTCCCAGGAGGGGGAATTCTTTTTCCTCCTTCACATTTCAGCCTGTTACTTGGTGGAGCGAAGCAGCACAACTTGTTCGTGCACTTGGAGGAGCCTCTTTGCCATTTGGGACAGGGATCTGGTGCTGGTCTCTTTTCAGTGGTGACCACTGATAGGACTAGAGGAAATGGCCGGAAACTGAAGCACCGAAAGTTCCACAGGAACTTAAGGAAAAATTTCTTCCCAGTGAGGGTGCCAGAGCCCTGGAACAGGCTGCCCAGAGAGGTTGTGGAGTCTCCTTCTCTGGAGATCTTCAAACCCGCTTGGACGCAGCCCTGGGCCACGTGCTCTAGGTGACCCTGCGTGTGCAGGGGTTGGACTGGATGATCCCCAGAGGGCCCTTCCAACCCTACGCATTCCATGATTCTATGATCAGGAGCCAGGCACCCTCAGCTGTATTTGCAGGGTAGAATCCTGCCCGTGTCTCGAAGCAGCCGCAAAGTTCCCGTTTCTGGGGCCGTTTCCGCTGTCGGCTTCCTGCCGAGGCCGCGTCGTCCTTCGCCCGGGACGTGACGGCGGCTTTTCCGGCGGCTCCGTCCCCGCTCCGCGCACAGCTCCTTCCCTCCGCGCACAGGTACGAGTACCACTGGGCGGACGGCACCAACATCAAGAAGCCCATTAAGTGCTCGGCTCCCAAGTACATCGACTACTTGATGACGTGGGTCCAGGACCAGCTGGACGACGAAACCCTCTTCCCTTCCAAAATCGGTAACGCGCCTCGGGCGAAGGGGCCCATCCGCAGGGGCAGCTTCATGGCCGGCCGCGATGCTCAGCCGGCCCTTTCGGTGCTTCCAGGCGTCCCTTTTCCCAAGAACTTCATGTCGGTGGCCAAGACGATCCTGAAGCGGCTGTTCCGCGTCTACGCGCACATCTACCACCAGCACTTCGACTCGGTCATGCGGCTGCAGGAGGAGGCGCATCTCAACACCTCCTTCAAGCACTTCATCTTCTTCGTGCAGGTCAGCAGCTGATTTTCCTTTCCCTCTTTTCTACTCTTTTCTCCCCCCCCCCACTTTTTTTTTACTCTATCCCCCCTCCTCGTTTTTTTACTCTTTTCCTGTTTCCCCTCTCTTTTTTGACTCTTTTCCTTTCCCTGCTCTTTCTACTATTTTCCTTTCTCCACCTGTTTTCTATTCTTTTCCTTCCCCCTTGATTTCTTACTGTTTTCTCTCCCCTTTTTTTACTCTTTTCCTCTCCGTTCTATTCTGTTCCCATTTTTTTCTATTTTTTCTTCCCCCCCATTCTATTCTCTTTCTTCCTTTCCCCCCTC